AAAAACTCTAAGATAAAAAAAGATGCAATGACAAAAAGTGTCAAAGTTAAAACTTTAAAATCTAGCGAATTGATTTGAAAATAGGTAATACTCTTTAAAACAACTAAATTTGGTGTTTATGAATATTTCCAAAGACAGCGAAAATGTCTATGTTTTTTTTTTGTATCGCATTATCTCTTCAAGATTGACTTTTTCATTCTAATAAAGTTAATCTTTGTTGAAGAATCCCTAAATCAAGTACCACGATCAATCAAGGATCCATTATAATTAATCAAACATAAATCAAGATCTTTCCTTATAGATTTGTAACCGTTTATTCTGTATATTCTTTTCTTATTCCTCTTGACATAAGGATTGAAGATATTTTAATGTATATATAACCTATAAATCTGTGCAAACTAACATAGGAAAATGCATGGGACTTGGTTCCCTTTTCTTTATTCTACTTTTCACGAATAATCTTATTGTCATATATAGAGAACCTTGGTTTTTTATTCTGCTGCAAAATCGAAGTATATTACCTCTCGGTTGCGAGTATACCGAAGAGGAGTCTATCGTTTCAATTTTCATAATTTTGTTCTTTTTTTTGTCATTCATTCAAACTAAAAGGAGCGTTTTCTTCAAGTGAATCGTTGGTCATTCATTCAAGCCACGGTTCACCATATTTTTCTTGTGTCTCTCGGAAATTTCATTTCAAACCGAGAAGAATTACTTTTTCTTATCTCATTATCACTCCAATATGTGTGAGTATTGTGATTGTGAGTATGAAGAGGTTTATGAAGAACCAGAATATAAAGAGCATTGGGATGTCGATGACGTCTTAGCTAAAATACCAAAGTCTTTGAGAGAGACGTTGGTGCAAAACGTCAATGCAAACAATATCGAGTTAAGTATTTATCTTCTTGAAGAATTATTTCGAACTAATGAGTTTTTTGAAATGATGCAAAAAGCACAGGTAGAAAACATTGAAGAGGTGAAAACAATGCATGGAGAACTACAAACCGATCACAAAAACCATACCAAGGGTCATGACTTGGATCATGCACTCTCGGAAGAAGAAGAAGAAGAAAGAGAAACAGATGCGATTGTGAATGACCTCATAATGGAGGCAAAGAACCCAGAAGAAGAGGCATCACATGCATCAGAACTCATTCCTCATCCGAGTATAACAAAGAATCCGAGCATTCCCTTCGCATAGAGAGAAACCCAAGTTTGTAGTATCTTCTATTCTCCTATCTCTTTTGATTTTTATATTCCAAGTGATATGTTTGGTTGTCTTAGTGTTTATGATCAGAAAATCCAACAAATAATCATGAAGGTTCACGATATCGAAAAGCTCACGAGTGAGGGACAATGACATGATACACTCGCATGCTTCTCTACCGAAAAGGATATGAGTTTCAACAACTCTATGTTCTTTATTTCTAACCCTCTCTCGTTTTTTTTATTTTATTTTTTTAAAACAAAGAAAAGACAATAAAAATATCTATGGGTTTTTATCGCATTATCTTTTCAAGATTGATTTTTGTATTCTTTCAAAATCAATCTTGAAAGGGAATGTTAAAATAGGAAAATGAATGTGTGATTGGAGGAAAATATAAATTTTGGAGGAATACAATATTATGTTAAATATTATGAATCGTATTTATTTTCGTTATATCTATATTTCTTTTTTATTTTATTTGTTAATTTTCCTATAAATATATAATTTATTTTCATTATAATATAACTACAAGAAAGAAGAGATTTAGCTAATAAAATAATTCTATTTATTTTTATTTATTTTATTCTGTTTTCGTATTTTATTTTTCTACATGTTCGTCAAAAAAAACAAATGACGAAAAGAAACAAAAAGTTGATAAAATCTTGCAATGGTTACGTGAGCAAAACGTCATTGGATTCGGATATGCCGACATTCTCGTCACGAATAACGTCTTTAATAATAATAATAAAAAAAAAACGCAACGAGATACATCGCCGTCACCTCTTTGTTCTTCTCTCCGTTGGGACCCACGATTACGCCTAAAAAAATTTAAATTAAATAAATGTTTTTATTTGATATTTTTTATGTCATAGACTAAGAAACACAATGATGACCGAATTTGTTAGACATGATTCCGATAAAAATCATAAACTCTATAATCTGAAAAATATAAATACAAAACATTAACTTTTTTAAGATTTTGAGAAAATAAAAATAAAAAGTTTCTAAATTCGGTTTTTTATCCACGTAGCCATAAAAAGAGCTCTAGAAACGTTAGACAAAAATATACGTGAAAATCGAAGGAAAAATGGTTGACATGATAACTGATAATATACTCACACAAAAATACACACACACACACACATATATATATATATATATATATATATTTACACAAATCCTTCATACCAAAAAAAAAATTACACAAACCCC